ATGTGCATTCCTGAATGGTCCCTTAGATGAAGAAGTTAATGTTACACAACCAGTCGGGTTTGCAAAACAAGGCCAAGAAACAAAAGTATATAGGTTGTATAAAGCCCTATATGGACTCAATCAAGCTCCAAGAGCTTGAAATAAGAAGATATATAGTTTCCTAAGGGAGAAGGAATTTTCTAAGTTCACAACTGAGCATGGAGTATATGTAATAAGAAGAAAGAATGAATTGTTTATATTATGTCTCTATGTTGATGACTTGTTAATAACAGGTAGCTGCAAGAAAGAGATCGAAGACTTCAAAGGTGATATTAGCAAGGAGTTTGAAATGTATGATCTAGGGAACATTTCATACCTCCTTGGTATCGCATTCTACAAGAGTAGTAGAGGCCTGATGATGTATCAAAGAAGATATGCAAATGAAATGCTTAAAAGGTTTGAGATGGAAGATTGTAATGCAACTTCGACACCTGCTTAACTAAGACTGCAACTGTCAAAAAACTCAGATGAAGATGATGTCTACCCAACACAATACATAAGACTTATTGGGTCATTAAGATACCTTTGTCATACAAGGCCTGGTCTAGCATGCATTTTAGTTATGATGAGTAGATTCATGCATAAGCCAAAGGTATCACATCTAGCAGCGACGAAGATGATACTAAGGTATCTCAAAGGAACTCTTGACTATGGAATTTAATTTCCTACATCTGATGAAGGAAAATATGATAAGTTAGTAGGTTACACCAACTCAAGTTGATGTAATGATGATGAAGATAGAAAATCCACAGCTGGTTATGTGTTTATGCTAGGTGGCGCACCGGTTTCTAGGAGCTCAAGAAAAGAACCAATAGTAGCACTCTCGTAGTGTGAAGCAAAATACATAGTTGCTTCCCTCTTTGCATGTCAAGCAACTTGGATGGTGAATTTGGTCGAAGAAACTACAAGGAAGAATCTTGGAGCAATTACCATGAAAATCGATAATATGTCAGAAATCAATCTGGCAAAGAATCTGATAGCACATAGAAGAAGAAAACACATTGAAATGAGGTTCCATTATCTTCGAGAGCAAGTAGCAAATGGAAAGCTGAACTTGGAACACTACAGGTCTGAGAATCAAATTGCAGACATCGTGACGACAGATGTGTAGGTCGAAGTGTTCAAAAGACTAAGAACAATGATGAAGGTAGATAGTTTAGACACTGTGAACTAGGTGGTGTGTTGAGAATATAATTCTTTGTGTCAAAGTGTCATTTCGACAGAGTCTGTTGTTGTCAAAATACTCTGCGCAGAAATTATATGTCGAAATGTCGAAGAAGTGTGTCTTTGGCAGAATTCAAGACTTAGCTTTATTTTATGTTTTTAGTTGAGTTAGGTTAGTTGGAGATTGTTTGGTGTGCAAGCAATTTCACCATATAAATAAGAAGGTGCCATATCTTTGTCATATGCAGTTGTATAGAGAAAAAATTGAATAAATTTTAATTTAAAGACAGAGAAACTCTGCAAAAATATTCTCTCTCTTCCCCTTTTTTCTCAAACCCTAATATCTATTTTCTTTCCCCTAATTCATTTTTTCTTATTTAATAATTGTTATGCGGTAGAATCATCTTGCAACCAAGATGTGGTTTATTCACTCGAGTGAGGAGTGAAGAATAAGAAATGCAATCAATCTGAAGAATTGATTTTTGTTCGTCAAAATTGATTCATGATTCTCCAAATTTTGGATGAAAGTACAACATTAGGGATTCGTCGAAATTCCAATAAAAACAACCATTCAATAATTTATGTATACTTAATTCTTCAATGTGGGGGTATTATTTATGTTTCATTGGCTGATAAACAAGTTTTTAAAAATAATTTATAATAAAATAAGTAATTTGGTAGTGTCCCCAATACTATACATACTATACATGTAGACCTGTCCTAGTCAAATTAGGAGATATATGGAGTGTCAAATCCAACTAAAGGAGTATAGTAAAATGACAGATATCCCTATATTCGAGCAAGGAGTATGTATCTATCCACGAAAGAATATCTCACACTTGTAGAATTACGCATACAAGCCATATTTTAGATCGAAATCCTTTTACTTTAATGATTTTCTTTCTACTTTAATTACTTTCTTATAAGCGTATCTTTGATTCTCAATTGCAAAAAATTGATTTTATAAAATTAATCTTAATTAATAATGAACTGAATATAAAAACATTTAAGTTTGAATAATTATATGCAAAATTAAGTTGAAAATACAATGTAAATATCTTGTTAAAACTCAAAAGATACAAATTATAGTTTCAATTATCAATTTTGTAGGCACGATCAATTTTACTTTAAAAAAACTAAACACTTCAAAATCATTTTAAAAACACTTTTAACCTCTAAATTAGAGTTGCTTTCTTCAATTAAATTGTATTTGCCTCTTCCATAAACTAAACAAAACCTAGCTAACTAACTTTATGTTAGTGCAAACATAAAATTATATATATATATATATATATATATATATATATATATATATATATATATATATATATATATATATATATATATATATATATATATATATATATATATATATATATATATATATATATATATATATATATATAAGTATCACGTGAAAATTTAAAAAGTTCTTTCAGATTTCGAAAATGTATTTCCAAACATGCTTCATACAACATAACTTATTTGTTTTTGAACCACACCCCATTTTAATGGCTTAAATTATTTCAAAAATACATTTTTGAAACTCAATTTTGTAGCATGGTTACATGTAGTAGCTTGTGCATAGTAGTTATTGGAGGATACTCTTTGTCTGCATCTTAAAAATTGTCTTCATATGATCCCATAATAGTAAAAACACCATAAACTTAAATACTCCCTCCGTTTCAAAATGATTGTCGTTTAAGGTTTTTTCACACAGATTAAAGAATGCAATGATATTGTCATAAAATATTGCACTTTTACTAAATTAGTCTTATTAATATATTAAAAATAGTGTAAAGAGTAATAATTATATGAAACAATTAAAAAAATAGCAATTATTATTATATTGAAAACTGAGAATGACATTTATTTTGAAACAAAAATTTCCCCCTAAAACGACAATTATTTTAAAACAGAAGGAATAGTATATAATGATTGTGGTCATCAAACACAGTAAGGAAAAGTTAAACAGACATTTTTTTTCCTATAAGGAGAGAATATATTGAAGGGGACACAAAGGTCTCCCAAACCAGCAAGATTACAACCAAAGAAAATATCCACAAGATGCTAAAACAATGTTAATAAACAAAGATAGCCCCTAACTATACACAAAGCCTTATAAGAAATCGGTTGGACATTTGCACCACTCATAATAAGTGAGTCTAGCCTTTTTCTTTGAAGTAAGAACCAACCACCCCCATGCGAAATGAACCACTCTATGGAGGATCTCGATTGAGACAGCTATACCATCGTTGAACATCACCTGATTTCTACTCCACCATAAGCACCAACATGTTGTCAACCAAATAAAACAAGTCGTCGTTTTTGACAGTATCCCAACCATAGTTGCAAACCATGCTAGCATATGTTCATTGCAACTCATTAGTGGCGGAATGCTTGGCTCTTTTGGTTCGGAGGGCTGTCAATATAAACATGCTGAAAAAGGTACACTTGAATGACGAAGTTTCCATAATAGGAGAACACAGTACCTCCTCTACAATCTCAAAATATTTCAAATCTGCAAAGATAATAGGAGAAATAAGAAAAATGAGAAACATAGATATCAAAATATAAATAAATCACAAGTATAAGTTTCAGACTTTCATGACATGTGCTAATGAGCAAATGCTAGAAACAATTTAGGTACTTTTTCTTGGGCGTGCTATCATGTTTACTGTTATGGGATCATATGACTTGCACTTGAAGACAGTTTCTACAAGATGCGGACAAAGAGTATCCTCCAATAACTACTATGCACAAGCTACTACATGTAAACAGCTACAAAATTGAATTCCGGTTAAGTAATAGAATTTGAGTGTATCTCAAAGACGAAGGAGTTGTGTGTGCATGAGATGCGTCAAGAGATACATCTCCGGAATCTGAGGGACATTTTCGAATTTTCATGTGGTGCCTAAATAGTATACAGAATGCATCAAAAAAATCCCCACAAGTAAAATTTATACTTGTGAAATACAACAAGGGTTACTTAGAGTCTAGTCATGTGGTTGATAGTAAGAGACTTTGTAGGCTAGAGTTTCATAAATTACTGAATGAATTTTCAAATTTTGATATTGGAATATTTATCAAGGACTTCTTGAGTCGGGGTAGAAAGAGAAAAACATTTCCCCTAGCTTTACGACAAAGACATGAGAGTAAGAAAGGACTGATTCTTCCTCAAACAATGGAAAGACGATTTTTTTTTCCTTTGACGGCCATCTTAGACAGTTATTTCTTGAACACCTCACATGCTACATGCGATAAACCGGCACAACATGATTGATAGTTGGGCAACCCATGCACAATGAGGCGATCCGGAGAGTGCCCTGACCCAGTGGGACGAAACAGAATACATTCGCCCTGTAATTCAACACTTCATTTGACATGCTTTAATATGGACTATCCTTTAAGGGTCTACTAAAATTATCTCAGTCCTGAATATACACAACTTACTTTACATGACAGCTCATAAATACAATGCTTAAAATAAGCAGCTTTTGACATTATGAAAGGTTGCTGCTAAAAGAGGGAAGAACCTTGTGGTGAAATGCATGCATCCAAAGTTCAAAATAAAGAGTTGCGTACAAACTAAGGTTTTTAATTTTCAATAAGTTGCATACACTGCTTGGGAAATGTTTGGTATACAAGGCATGAAAAGTGTTTTCCCTCTAAAGACCCCTGAATCACTTATTTGTTTTGACTTGCAGAAACTAACTGGTACAAGGTTCATTTGGTGTGATATATCATCATATGCTCAGTAAACTACTATTACAGAAAGACGTATTTAATCCGATCAACTAGAATCGAACCCAGCATCTAGTGCACTGTGCCATACAATCGCCTTTGCAATCAACATTATAACCCAAAACTTTCGGATTTCGAAGGAGAAGGCTCCTAAGAGATTTTCCTTCAATACTCCACTGCTCTTTCAGGATCTTGATATTACCTTTCAAATCTTCCTCTAAATTACATCCAAGAACTTCGGGAAATTTTTTGATCAACTTGGAAAGATCGTCGTCAGAAAGATTTAAACTCCTTAGATATTCTAATGTTCCATTAATTGTTTCCGATTTGGGAACTTCCTTCTTACGATCTTCTCCCCAATAAGGAGAATGAACAAGACCAAATGCTTTGCCAAGTATCTTGTCCTTTTCTTCGTCGCTGAAGTTAAACTCGGAAAGAGCTTGTTTACATGCTTCCCACATACTTCGATCTTCATTGCTTGTGATTGTATTATCTATCTGCGCTGTAGAATGTAGTATCCAATGGTTGGTAGACCGGTTTGATTTTGAGGTCCATTTTCCCTTCGCAATACTTGGCGAAAATCTGCAAGAATGTCTGGTATTTGATAATTGAATAGATGTAGCAAAATCAGCCTGCACGATCACATGCAATTTTCAGACTCTGATGACTGTTATTATCTTCCTACATAACTACCCAAGACTTCATTTTTTAAAATCTCAGTTGAATTAGGCTCAATCCAAATTTGAAGACCTATTTTCATGTTCTAAAAACAGTTCCAATTTTTTCTGGACAAGAGTAAGTAATGGTTTTGTGACAGACATATAGAACCACCACAACTCACTAGAAAATAGTAAAAGTTAAGATGCAGTTACCTTACAACAGAAGAACTGTGCAGAAGAATCAATAGTGAGAAGAGAGGAATTCAACTGTTTCCCAAACATCCCTGCACTAGCAAAATAACACATAAATATCTAATTGTAGAAAAATAACAGCACTAAATTAAATTCAGGAACAGACCAGAAATTGAAGGAAAAAAATGAAGAAATAATATAACAATTTTTCCTATCTACACCATACTGGTAATATAAAAGTAAAATCAATTTTGTAACGGAGACACAAAATTCATGATACCCACAAACAAAAGAAAATTGCCCATTACATGTTAAGAAAAATGGAACAAGTCAATGTTTTTGGGAATAATATAGTGAAATGAAATGAATAGGATTGAAAAGATGAAGCTAACCAGAGCGGGGAGAAGGAGTGGAAGAGGCGAACTTGAGACAGTCCATCTCATCTACGTACGCTCTCTCAATACCATAATCACAAATCACGGTTTTGTGGTGTCCTAGGTTCTCCACCTTTTTTTGGTGGTTGAGAATTTCAGATAACACTTTGGTTAATTGTGTGAATTATTGGAATGACAAGTTTTGGAAAAATGCTCTTTTCACACTCTTAAAAATTCAAAAATATTATTTATAGATTCTAAGATGCATTTTCGAACTTATTTAAAATTACACCAAAATGTGTTTTTTTAGATTTATTTTATTTTTAAAAAAAAAATTGGAGACGCATTTTCAAACATTATTTTGATGTATTTGGATATGCATCTTTGAAATAACTTTTACACTTAATTATTGTGTTTTAATTCACTGAGTGAGTTAAATGAACGACTCAGTGATATTTTTGAATATGCATCTTTGGAAATGATCAATGGAAAATTGAGTAAAACATCACCTTGCATGATCTTCTTCGTACTCATACAAAACTCCATTTTCAAAATCCTTAAAAGTTTAATTCATTCTCAATCACATCATCAACATCAAAACATCTTTTTATATTTCATCACATCAAAGGGAGCAAAACAAGGTGAAATTGGAGGTAAAATTCATTCATTGCATTCCTCATTCTTTGCATTAATCTTGTTTATGAGCTGAAAATGGATGTTGATTCCGGATATGCATCTTCAGACAAAGTTAGGTATGGTCCGGATGTGCATCTCGTTTGTCATGATAGTTTGAATTTTCACACTATTTTTGTGTTGTTGGTGGTATTATATATGGTGCACCTGAATATGTTTCCCAAAGCTATCATGAGTGTGGATGTTAAGTCGGTCGAAGTGAAGCATGAAATTAAACTAGATGAAGTGAATGACAGTGTTAAACCAGATGAAGCGAATGATGGTGGATGCTCAACTAGTTATTTTCGAGGTAGATGTTTGTGCGCAATTTACAAATAAATAAGTGTTTATTATTCATGAACATATGCTCCAATTGGTCCGTAAGGAGGTCAGGAAATTGGGGTTACACGTTGTAATCGGAAGGCCCGACAATGGTTCGGATATAAAACAAGCACTTGTAACAATGATATGCGAAAGAAGTGGCGTGTACCAACCAAAGATTAAAAAGTTGAAACGAGATGAGACTGGATCGAGAAAATGTGAGTGTCTTTTTAAATTGTTTGGATACCATATGGCGGATGAGACATGGAAATTTAATGTAATTTTCGGTATACATAATCATGCCTTGAATGACAAGCTAGTCGGTCATCCCATTGTATATTGCCTTGTTTCGGAGGAGAGATAACTTATTTCAGACATGACATTAAACATGGTGGCACCGAAAAACATACTTGCATCTTTGAAATGGAGAATACCTATAAATACTTCAAATGTCAAGCAAATATACAATGTGTGTGCTCGAGAGAACAAGGTCGTAAGAGGACCAAGATCTGAGATGCAACAACTCTTAAAGATTTTGGATAATGAATTTGGTTGCAACGACGTTTCCTACATCGTCCAAATTACTTTATGAATATCACATAACCAAAAGTGTGAGAAGTTGAGTAAACTTGTGGTTGGCACGAAACAAGTTAAACATGAAAATGGAAAAAATTTCAAGCCTTGTGTGGTGGTGGAAAATATAATAGATACATGGAATTCTATAATAAATTCTTCCGTGGAAGAATTATATGCCGGCTTTGTTCTACATTTCAGGAATGTGTATGCAATATATCCATATTTGATGAAATATGTTGAGGACACTATTCTGGATCGGATAAAAGAGAAGATTGTTTGTGCATGGATCGATCAGGTTCGACACTTTGACAATGCAACAACTAACAGAGTTGAATATGCACATGTTAGATCGAAGAATTAGTTAGGAAACAATAAAGGTGACTCATTCATTCATGAATCACCATTTATTTCTCTCATTAAAAATCACTTTTACATTTACATTAAAATTATTTTTCATTAGCATCATCATTACATTCATTAAAACATTTTTCTCATGCTGTAGTAGGGAAATTTGTGAGTGTAAGTTATTCATTAACTTAACTTAAAATGCAATAGTCACCACCGCACTTTTATTTTATCCAAAAGAAAAGGAAAAAGAGCGAAAAAAACCTAAACAAGTTCTAAACAAAGAACAAACAGAGAATGAGTAAGGGGGTTGGTTACGCTAAGGGAAGGTGTTAGCACCCAAAATGTCTACATTACTTTATAGGAACCCTTTGAAATATCTACGCTTTTTTCGTTTGAAAAGGTTTGTTTGAAATGAGATTGGGGAGATGAGAAGAAATTTTTTTAAAAAGACTTTTGTGTTTGGAGAGACTTATCGTCTCATGCCTACGTACCCACAGAGTGCAATATAGGATCAAAATCCCGTAGTTCGATGTACAAATAATAAAAATGGTTTATTTTGACTGATTTTTAAGTGTAAATACAAGTCGTCATTTTAAGGAGAAAACTACGACTAGTCGCCCACAAGTATAAGACAACATTTATGTGACCTAAAGATGGAAGATTTTGCTTGGATTGAAATCAACAAGTCTATCACTCAACAACTAAGTGAAAAATGTCAAAATCTTAAATACTATGGAGAATAGGAGAATTATATCTCAACTATGAAAATGACTCATGTCTAAACTTTATGAAAAGTTTTAAAAGGAAAGTTGCACATAGGCACAAAAAGTTTGGATGAGTTTTTCTATTTTTTAAGTCTTTTGAAATTAGTCAAAGTATGATTGACATTGATTGACATTTATTAAAGAAAATAAAGTTTGAAATCACTTGACCAAAGTCAAGGTTTATTATAAAAGTGGTTTAACTTTGAAAAACAAGAAAGTTTTGAAAAAGGGAGAAGATTTTGAAAATTGATGGGGTGGAGAAGAAGTGACTATCCTAGAAAGAAAAATAAGAGTTATAGATAAGAAGGATCTAACCAAAAGATAGAAAACTTCATAGCAAGCCAAATAAGAATTCCTTCCACCTTGAGCATAAGCCAAAAAGCAAAGCCAAATAAAGGTCAAGATCTCAAATCCATAATAATCCAAGCATAGGGAAGGAGACATAATTCTAAGTCCAAGGGTCCAAGAATAATCCAAGAAGTCCAAGGTATAAGAATAATCCAAGAAGTCCAACGTATAAGAATAATCCAAGAAGTCCAAGGTATAAGAATAATCCAAGAAGTCCAACGTATAAGAATAATCCAAGAAGTCCAAGGTCTAGGTCCATCCTCAAGCATAACCACAAGAATTAAGAGAACCAAGCTCTTAGAGGTTTAATCTCTTATTAATGTTTTTTGAACAAAATATGGTCCAAATGGACAAAGGAGAAAAGAGCGGAAGCATAAACAATAATATGATATGATAATAACAAAAATAAAGCATAAAAGCGTAAAAGTAAAGAGATAGGGAACGAGAAGGAAATATACACAAAATGAGTACAATACTATGGTTAGTATAATATACATAATCGTATTATCAACCTCCATGAAGCACAAATTGTCAAATTATGGAGAATATTCGACTAATCTTCCATAAGAATGAAAACATGGTCTTGTACATTACCATGGGGAGGGGTCCAACTCGGATGAAATCAACGAGTATACCAACTAACCCCCATGGGCAACAAAAGATCCAATTATTTCAAACTACACTACGGAGATTAAGAGAATAACATCTCGCTTACAAAATTGACTTAGTTCCGATTTAGGGACAATTTAGTGCTATGTTAAGCAATCATAATCGTACTTATGTAAAAGGTACGACTATTTGAGGTATGTCAATAATAATGTTTATGCTTATGTATGCTAAAGAGACGGTATGTAGATCATTCTCCAGAAGCAATACTGCACGAAAAGAAAATAGGTAACAATCTCATCTTCATCAAGAACTTAAAACAAGTTACAATGATATTGAAGATTTCCATTGATCAAAAGAAAAAAGAGAAGAGTGGAGAAGGGAAACCAAATCGAATTACAACATTTGAATCATTCCATCTTTAAGTTCCATCACTCTTCTTGGTGGATTAAAGGAATTAACCCTCATCAACACCCAAAATCCATGGAATTTAAAGAGAAATTTGATAAAAGAAACATCAAAATTCAAGGCAAAACAAAGGGAGATGGAAGAAGAAAGAAAAAGAACCAAAGCAGTCCCAAAACAAGCCAAAAAACACATTATGGACTGTGTTAATTGATTAACCTCTTGGTGTTAATCGATTAACACAGCAAAAATAACAATTACATAATGCAACAACATGTGTTAATCTGTTAATACCAATGTGTTAACCGATTAACACTGTTGAAACAACAGAAAATCAATTTGAAAAGTTGCAAATCCTTGATCAATTATTCCATCAAATACCTCATGATCAAGGATGCAATTGTGAACGAAAATTCAAGTAAAACAACATCAACTAACACCAATAAAACACAATTTGTAAGATCCAAAGATCAGGCAATAAGAATCAACCATATATCACATTGTAGAAGATGAATCAAGCACAACAATGGAGGAACAAGGGTATTACCACTTCAAATCTGAAAATGCTTCAAAACAACTTTAAGATCTACACTCCAAAGCCTTGATCTATAGAATTTGATGATGAAAAAGTGATTGGATGAAGGTTTTAGCTCAAAAGTTAGTAAGCTTCAATGAAAAGCTTACTAACTTTTAATGGAAGAAAGAGATTTAGTGAATTTGGTGGTTGAAGAAAATTGAGAGAATAAGAAGGAATATTGATAAGGTGAATTTGGCTCTCAAAAACTTGAAGAATGAATGAAATGGGGCATCTATTTATAGAAATCAGGCTTAGAAACTTTGGTGGTTTAGAACTTGGATTTGGATTTAAATTGAGGCTTGGAATTTAAATTTGGAGGCAAAATCAAGATCAAGTGGTGATTAATGAGGGTGTATGATGAGAATTAATTATGTTGAGGCAGGGGAATTAAAATAAGGTGATCTAGAATATTCTCATGTTGAAACAAGTGAATTTTGGTGTCAAAAT